GTTCAAAAGATTGGTTATAGTGTTTTAGCAATCGAGAAAAACTGTAACTAAGATTTAATGATGCAAATTCTTAAAAAAAATATATGGAGTGGACTCAATTTTTTGTTGTATTCTTATTCTTATTTTCATCAACAGCCATTCTGTGAAACTGCACGTAATCTCTTTTAACTTTTGTTAATTCTGCAAAGATAACTGCACGGTATCCCAGAAAGATCAGACTAAAACCGCAGAAAAATGTTTTTCAGCCCTAAAACTCTTACATTTGTCTTCAGGTGCAGTTAGCAGCTATGATGACAAAAAATATGCTTACATGTATAGTATTTTAACTACAGACTGACGACTTTAACAGATTTATAAAACAGTGACAAATAAGAAACAGGAAGTGAGGTGTATGCAGCCAAAAAGCAAGAGGTTTTATATAGACAGAAATAACAGCACACATCACAAACAAGCTATTCATGACGTCTAACATGTATCTGTATAAACCACATGGCTGTGAGGATGTAGGAACTCCAATTCGCTTGTTTACAGTCTTCTTTGCTTTCAGTTTGTGAGATAACACGCACCCACAAACTTGCCCATTGCATAGAGCGGAAAAACTTACCTCACGGTTATTTCACACACAATGCTTTCCACTGAACAGTAGATGCGACGGATAGATTCAGTGGGCTGACAGAAGATATTGTGTGGGGCCCTTAATTACAGCCATCAATCTAAGAATTGTAGCAAAGGTCCCTTTAAGAAAGGAAACCAAATTCACAGGAAAAATCTAATACCCTTTGCTGAGGAGCCTCGGTTGAACGACCCAGCTGATGTCATTTAACTAACAAAGTAATTAGCCCAGTTATGGCTATCTGGGGGAGGGGGGGGGGCATGGTGGTGCAGTGGTTTGCACCTCCACCTCACACCTCTGTGACCAGCTTTCAAGTCTCTGCTGGGGTTCCGTGTGTGCGGAGTTTGTTTGTTCTTGTGTCATCATGGAGTTTCCTGCAGTTCTCCGCCCCCGCCCCCCCAAAAACCCCCAGTTTAAAAACATGCTGAGGCTAACTGGAGTTACCAAATTGTCCATAGGTGTGTGTGTGTGTGTGTGAGCAGGTTTACCTATCCTTATGGGGACACAATGTCCCCATAAGGTGATAAATATTAGTTTTTTTTCCCTTATTTTTTTTTTCCTGGTCCCCATAAGGGAAAACTATATTTTATAAAAATTGGTGACTGCTATGAAAAAACTAAAAATGCAAAAACTCTTGTATTTTGTTAGGTTTCTTATGGTTATGATTAAGGCTGGGTGGGGGTTAAGGTTGTCATAGTTAGCGTTAGCATTTTTCCCATTTAAATGAATGAGCGGTCCCCATAAGGATATGTTTACCGTACATGGGTGTGTGTGAGTGGTAAATAAGATGTGTCCTGCAATTGGTTGCTCCCCGCCTTGTGCCTGTAGCCTCCAGGATGGCCTCTGGACCCCATGCAACCCTGAACAGGAAAGAAGTTTCAGAAAATGGATGGATGGCTATCTGGCTTCTCTTAATTTTGAAAACAAATACAAAAAAAACAAGACTCCAACCATTCAGCAGGTCTACCGGCTTAGTGAGGTGTGTTGAAGCTTGCTTCTGTGGTTTTGGCACTACGAATCGCAGCCAAGTTTTTAAACAGGGTATATTGCCATGGTAATTTAAGCTGCACGCCTAACCTTCTCGGAACAGGTTTAAGTGTAGGTTTTAGGATTAAAACAACCATATGTCCCATCCTTTCATCAAAAACATATATCTGTGCCGCTGTTTCATCAAAAATGTAATATTTCAGAGCCACTCATTCACTACATAGTTGGGATGAGCAATTTCGCTTATATTTTTTTAGGTACAATATCCAGCCTCTTCGATTTTTATCCCAGTGGCGATACTGGGAGCTGGGGAAATTAAATTTCCTGGGTGATGTTAATTCTGATCTGTTTAACTCTGGGTTTGTAAAACTTGCTTCACCGGGGAGCTGTGGAACAACTAACCAAGTGTGTTTCACAATATCAAAAATGCAGATATCGTATTTGTGCTTTTGCCAAGAGCGGTCTCGCTAACTTGCCTCCCAAGAACGAAGATGGGACACAATGAATCATGGGACTGGTCTTGTTTGGCGAGGGTGCAGCCGACAGGACAGGACAAGAATGACATCCGGGGATTTCTGTTGAGTATTGGAGCTGCTCTTCAGGAATGGAAGATGACGTAGAACGGGATTGCAAGAATACAAGTACGGTGTGCATATTGAGAAATATCCCTAATCCATGAAGCCAGGAACAAGACATTGGCTATCTAGCACTGTGAACCCTGAAAATAGACAGCAAATCAATCTGACAGCTGAGCCCTACACTCAAAAATGCTCCTGACACGGTCTAAACAGGGTTTGAAGCCATTTACTTCTGGGTAAAAGCAAGATGACACAGATCTTCCTCAATTTTGCAGTCTGAATGCAGGGCAAATGCAACAGATAAATCTCCATTTGCATACAAAATTAATATGACCAGGAGTCCTCTGCAGTGAAGGGGTGTTAAATAGCCTTTGAAGTGTAATACATAAACATAATAATGAAATGAATGAAAGATAA